TGTGTGTGTGTGTGAGTTTGTGTGTGTGTGTGTGTGTGTGTGTGTAAAATAATAACAATAGTAATAAATTAACAAGAAAATTGCATAGATTACCCTAAAAAAAGGTTAGTTCACATCAGTAATTGGTTCACAGTCATCATTATTTAACATTTCAATAAAGTCACATTAGTTAACATTAATTAACATTCCATTGACTAATTAACTAACAAAGAGCAATGCATTTGTTACAGTATTTATTAATCTTTGTTAACATTAGGAAAATACTAATGTAACTGTAACTGTAGGTTCATGTTAGCTCATGTCCATTAAATAATATTAACAGATACAACTTTTGATTTTAATAATAATCTGTTAGTAAATGAAACATTAAATTGACATTATGATTAATAAATGCTTAAAAAATTGTAAATAGTAAATTATTTCCATTATATTTAAGGGATAATTCACCCAAAAATGAAAATCCGGTCATCATTTGCTCAGCCTCATGTTTCTTTCTTCTGTTGAATATAAATAAGCTATTTTGAAGAATGTTGGGAACAAAATATTTGCTGGTAGCCATTGACTGCCATAGTATGGAAAAAAAAATACTATGGAAGTTAATGGCTACCGACGACTGTTTGGTTCTCAACATTCTTCAAAATATCTTCTTTCATGTTCGACAGAAGAAATAAACTCATACAGGTTTAGTAAGTAAATAATGACAAAATGTTTGGGTGCACACTGTCCCTTTAAGAGAGAAACAATTGAGAATGAATGGTTCTTATTTGTCATTTTCTGTCCTGTGAATCACTCTTTCTCTCATTCTAGCTTGATCGAATCTTATCGATCTAATACAGTAAATACAGTTATAAAATACACACACACACACGCACACAGACAGAGTCTCTCAGAACAAACACAGATCTTTTCACACACATCACAATGACTCTCACATGCATCTGTTTCTTATTTCTGCTAATGGCTGCAGTAAAAAACCCAAATCACATCATGTGCTAATTCCTGCAGTCAGTGAATGCGATCTCAACCGCAGTCGTCTACATGATCGCAGCCAAGGCACTTTTCTCATACAGTTCCAAAAAGAGGAAGGACTCAGGCTAATTGCCTGTACAGTAATTTGTGTGCATGCAGGCCGTCTGTGGCCTTCAATTAAAACACTGAAATGAACGAGCGTCTGAGAAGCAGCAGCAGGGCTGCCGTCTGTCAATTACAGTAACACCTTGTTAGGTTTAACTGCCGCTCTCTCTCTCCAGCAGCTGGGAATGACGCTTTATTCTTCTCATGGCCCATGTTTTCCTGTCTGTGTTTATTTTTTTCTTTATGACAGGAAGGTTTATGTGTGTGACACTTTTTCTGCAATAAGCACATTTTACAATGTCATTTCTATTTAAATTTAATTTATTTTTATTTTGGTTTTAGCTTGAATAACTTTACTTCAACTTAACCTTAATTTATTTCATTCATTTTTTAAGTTTTAAGTTTTCATCAAAAAATGTTTTCATTTTATTTCAGCTTTATTTCAGTTAATACAAATGACTAAGCACTTCTTAAGAATTAGTCACTGAATTTGAATTTAATATTTTTTTGTAGTACTATAGCACTTATTGACATTTTGGTTTTGAATCTAAATGTTTATATATTTTCGGTTTTTCATTTTAATATTAGTTCAAGGTTTAGAATTTAAATAATGTATACATTTTTATAATTTTTTATTATATTTCTATTTAAATGCTATTTATTTTTATTTTGGGTTTAGTTTTCAGAATTTTACTTCAATTTAAACTTAATTAAGTTGTAATTTTTCATTTAATATTTGTTTCAATTAACAAAAAAAAAAAAAAGAAAGATTTTAAGCACTTCTGAAGAAGACCTAATAACTGAATTTGAATTAAATATATATTT